CACACAACTCAACGCTATCTGTGCTTGAGAGTCAAGTGTAAACACATAAAATCAACTGTTTATGCAGATCTATCAGATCTAGAGTAAAGCATAAACTCATATACTATATATTTGAATGAAAATGTTCCACTTGTTCGCTCGCTCGTTCGTTCATTCGGTAAGTGCACGAGAGTGAGGGAAAAAGGCAAAGTGCAAAAAAGTGCTGCATACTTAGCAGCGTCTCAGCCACTTGTCCTTGCTGTCGTTTTCGCTGCTGTTGCTGCTGCATGTTGCTTGCCTCTAGCTGAGCTGAAGCAGTTCTTAAATTTAACACAACTAAAATAAATGCCATAAAACGAAAACAAAGCTCAAGTAAAAATTTTTCTGTAAAATAAAAAGCAAAAGATTTTTGCAAAACTTTTTGTTTTGCGGGCCACGTTTCTAGTTTTGTTTCTATTTTGCTTTTTGTTTTGCATTACAAATGAACTTTTTGTTGTTTTTCATTCACTCTTTTTGTTTGTTCTTGTTTTCTCTTGTTTTTTGAGTATTACGTGCGAGCATTTGAACATTTCAACATTTTCATTGCGCCCGGCCTGATGAAATTTATGTGCATATATTTTTTATTTTTATTTTCATTTTCATTTTTTGTGTTTTATGCTCCTGGGGCAGTTCATTCATGCGTTCCGGGTCGAGATTCACAGAGCTGGCAATGCTCTCGCCTTGCTGCAGCAGCAGTTGATTTCGTGATTCATGCATAATTACGACTATAGCGAGTGTATTTATATATATGCATAGAACGTAGATATACAGTCTCGTATGACTGGCATATAAATCAACGACCAAACAACAATCAAAAGCCCGGATTGTCCAAATGTTTGACATGATTGTCATGCTGCGGCTGAAACTCCAGTTGAGCCTCTATATCCACGCCACATACTAAATGCCCTGAATGAGGGATTATGTTGTACGGGATGCGTCAGGAAAGCGCATTTCATTTGGATATTTATGTAATTCCATTTCCATTTGAAATGCATCAAAATATGAGCACATCCTTTAAGCTCTTTTAAGCTCAACTATATGAATTATATATAAATATATATTAGTATATACATTTGTATGTTCTCTCAAGCAAATTGCATTTTTCGTAGTTTCGTTTGAAAGAGATTTCAGTTTCATAAAGCAAAAAGTTCTGCTGAAGCATGGCTTAAAGAGAAAGCTTTACATAATTATTTACAATTTAATAAAGAATTCCCATTCTTCTAACTTCACAATCAACAATAGGAACCCAACTAAAGCCACTTCTTTATCATGAAATACACAATAGAATAAAAGTTCCATCTCAGTTTTATTACTACTTAGTTTCAACTCATTCTCAGCATTCTAAATCTAAGACTAAAAACATTACGTTGGAGTAACTATTTCATTCAACTAGACAGGCGTTTAGATAAATTTCGAGTATGTTCTCTAAATCCATTAGGAAAGTTTCTGCTCACTTTGCAGGACATTTAAACGCATTTGAGTGGCGCAAAGTTTTGGCATTAAAAGCGCGTTCGCCCACTCCATGCGCCATAATGTTAATGCTTAAAGTGTATGCGGTCAAAATTCAATTAAAATCAAATGTGTGCCACAGCTATTGTTGCGTTAACTTTATGTCCGAAGTTTTTTGCTGGGCGCGGTCAATTGAAAGCAATTAAAAGTGGGGGAACTCTATCTCTCTCTCTCTTACTCTCGCTGTGTGTATGTGCGTGGAGTATAATCCAGAAATTGTGACAGAAACCTAAGCCGTTTTCAAGTGAAAACTGTGCTCAGGATTAGGCCAATAGCTGTGTTTGGGCGTGGCCTTAAGCAGCTCAAGCGCTTAGCACAAGAATTTCGAGTTCAAGTTTCGTTGCAGCTGATTTTTGACTGCAAAGTCACGTGGCCCAATTCTAAAAGAACAGTAAAAATTTCTTGTTATTATTATTAGAGCTTTTGTTGTTCTTCTTCATCTTCTTAAGCTGATGCTGCTTCTTCTAGTTTCCCTACCTTTTGTAATTGTTTTCACATGTGCCAAGATTTTACAGCAGCGCGAAATTCGTTTTTATTGCATACTTTTTCGGGGCCGAGAGCCCTGCAAGACTTACAAAATGGCTGCCAATGCACACAAAATGGCCGCCCAGCCAACAAAGCATTTGGAGCAGCATTTACAAATGGGGCGTGGTCGCGTTGGGGCGTTACAGCAATCATTACGTGTGCATGTGTGCGTGGGCGTGCACTCAAAAAGATCTATATCGTATGGGAAGTACGAGTAATTAATAGCTGCACAATAGCGCCCATGCACACGCACACACACACACAGGCACACACAGATTGTTGGGCACCGCCTTATTGCTATTGTAGTTGGGCCCAGTAATTAAAAGATTAATTTTTAATGCGCGCTTAGTGGAAAGCGGAGCTAGAGATTGAGCATTAGCCGCTGGCGCATATAAATAGAAAGGATTTTAGCAGCTGCCATTCCGACTCCCTCCCACCCACACACACACAGACACACTCACACACACTCAAACACATTGTAATTTATGCTCCATTTCTGCCCACTTTTTTTATCAAAGTGCAATTTTATGAGTCCATTTTTTATGTGCTCTGCTCTGCCTGTCTCTCTCTCACTCTCCTGCTAGTTGTCCTCTCTTTCACTCTAGCTAATATTTTTAATACTTCTATCCCGTCTCTCTTTCTGCCTTTTTGCTCTCTCTCTTTCTTGCAACTTTTGTTTGTTTTGTGTTTAAATTTTTTATTATTACGCGAGAGATTTCCGCTTCTGTCCGCCTTTTTTCGACTCTTTTTCGCTTCGCTCTTTTATTTCTGATTTTTCGCCTTTGCTTGCAGCAGAAAATTAAATGTGCACACCTTTAAATTTTTAATGCACTTTGGCATAAGCTTATTTCATATACATTTTTTTTGTTGCTCCCACTTGATTAAAAAGGTAGTTCATTTAATATTTAACAAGCGGCAACAAATATACTTCAAATATAGGTTTTTTTTTGTAAAAGTTGAAGCGCGTTGGAGCGCTCTACGATGAGCAAGTTATTATTATAAATAATTGCTAAGATTTTTTAATTTTTAATTGATTTGAGCTTATCATTTGAGCCAATTAGATGACAGCTTAAATGGCAATAAATTTTTATCATAGAGCAAAGGGTGATAAAAATAATTTAATAATAATAATTGTCTTTGTTCCGGATAACAAATGAAATTATATGTATAAATTACATATATCAGATATTATATATATATTTAATAATATATATGACCAGTTCAGTTTGGTATAATAAAATATGTTTCATCATTTACAAACACAAATCTAAGTAGAGTTTTTTTTTATGTTCACAAAATTTTTGTCACCTTGACAAATAAGTTTTGTCTGTAGTTTCTTTTCAAACAGAAATAGATTTTAATAAAAATTGACTATATTTTATTTATTTATTTATTTAAAAATTAAAGTGTAAGCAGCAGTTTCATATTGAAGTTCTGTTAAATGGTTAAATTGTATTAAATACAAAATTTATATTTATTTATTCACTTCTTTCATACCCATTGCATGTTGCATGTTCTTTGGCTAAATATATAGTTTTTGGCTTTTTAATAATAGAAAAACTTTTTCAATTTGGCTAAAATGTTCTACTTAACCGCCGCCGCCGCCGTCGCCACCGCCGCCCCCTCCCGTCACTCTGCAGCACATCTAGTTTGTTAATCGTTATTTTCTCGACGTTTCTCTGTCGCTTATCTATTTGTTCGTTCGCCTGCCAGACGCGCTTTATCCTTATTCGTGTCAACAGCCTAAGCAGCTGCAGCAGCAGCTCGTCTCTGTGCGTGCACTATCATTAATATTTTAAACAGCTAAAAGTAGCCAGCACTTTTTGTTTACCAACAAATGTGCAGAGACAAAGCGCGCATAATTAGCAACAATACAAAAACAAATACAGCAGAACAACAACAGCAGCGGCAGCTCAGCCAATTAGTGAGCTAAAGAGGGCGTGCCCAAAAAAAAAGAGAGTGTAGGAAAAATAAAAAAATAAAACGTCGCTCAACCAAATAAACTTGACAAATTATACGCTCCGTTTGCCATGCTGGTGCAAAAAGATATATATATTTAAGCTTAGCCGCTTACCCAAGCTAACCAAAATGCCAAATGTGATGTATGTTTGTAATTTGATACAACAGCCACAGCAACAAATCACATTTAACAATAAAGCGGCCAAAAGGCAATTGCAATAGCTGCAGCCAGTGTCATTGCAAGGCAACTGTCAGGGGGTTACAGCTGGGTACGCGGCTATTCCGCTGGTGTTGTAGCTAAGTTAACCGAGCGTACAATAATAGAAACAACAACAAGAAATTTAGTTGACATGTATATGGGTAGCTTTTCCACAACTGCCTGAACTAATAACCGCAAAAGTCTAAAAACTTGATTAAACTGCGGTTAAATGAGGCAATCTCTGAGCAAGATCAACATCTTGTCTAATCACAGCATATCAGCTAACACTGGCGGCTATTACATAAGTCGTCTTCTGTGGCTTGGCTTTGACAATGAAGCCAAATGCGACAGGTGGCAGCGCGATGCGATGCCAGCCGGCAGGGACAAATGCAGTCATTGCCCAAGTTCAAAGTCAGTTGGTTGAGGCTGACACCGAGCACACTCAGCAGATCTTGGAAATTAGAAAAATATACAAAAATATCATGGAGATTCTCATTGAAATGATAGATATTTATACATAAATATTTCGAAATTAAGAGACAATAAAGTGCACGAACAACACTTTAGATATATCTGACACTTCCCCTTAGTAAATATTAATTTTGTTACTAAGGACAAAGCCTCAGCATCAAATTGTTACAAAATCTATTTTAGAATTTTTTTTTTGTTTTTTTTTTTTACAAAATAAGACAAAAAAAAAGAAATCAATGATTTTGACAATTAAAAACTAATATATATATTTATATAGATACATATATATTTATTTAATTCCTTATATTCATTAGAATAGTTCAGAAAACAGAACAAATTTTCAGAAATTTTTATAAAGTCTTTCCACATTATTTGCATTCAATGTCAGCCCCTTGACTGTCTAAATTGTTTAGGTACTCGCAATCTTTTTGCTTTTTATTAATTCTCAGGCAACGGTAATGTTTGAAAATGGTTATACTAACTATGAAAATGTTTAACAAAAAACCTTAGATGACTGCATTAAAAAAAAATTTTAAGTCGAAGAAGATCTCCAATCAAAACAAAAGTTGCATTGATACTAAAAGCCTATTGCCCAAGCCCCCAAGGAAAAGCTTCCGAATTGGCGAAATCATCAAGGATCCCGCATCACTAAAGTCATCCATAGACAATCCAAACATAAGCCAATTATTCGGTAGTTATGTGAGACCGCCAATCGAATGGCAGCAGCCCATGGAGGGTGCTTACCTGCCAGACGAATTTGGCAGTCCGTATTTGCTACTTTCCGAGGACGAGGTGAATGAAATGGCAAAGAGGCAACGAGGACCTACCTGTCACAATGTGCTGCGCGAACCACGTCTGAAACTCGACGCAGCCGATGTTCAACGTATGGTACGTGGCATACGGCTTAGCATTTGCGTCGAGCACACCCACTTCCCACTGATTACCAAAGTCTCGAAGAGTCTGGGCCTCACCCATGTGCCAGAGCATCGACTGTGGAATGTTCAATGGTGCGACAATACGCCCCATTTCGATCTACTGAAGAGCATGAAACGATTTCAGCAAATCAATCATTTCCCCGGCATGATCGAGATATGTCGCAAGGACTTACTCTCACGCAATCTGAATCGCATGCTCAAAATGTTTCCAGGCGATTATCGAATCTTTCCCAAGACCTGGCTACTGCCCACAGAGTGAGTTACGAGTGCTTCACTCAGATTCGCTCCAAAGCTCTGCTAACGTTTCTTTTAGTACCTATGACGTGTCTGTCTATGCTAGCAAGCACCGGCGTACGTTTATACTCAAACCCTATTCGTCGGGCCAGGGGCGTGGCATTTGGCTAACCAATAATCTGCGTACGGTGCGTAGGAACGAGAAGTTGATCTGTCAGACGTACGTTGAGAAGGTGAGTCGAGTTATGAGTTTCTTTTCTTCTCTCATATCTCTCTGACCTCTTTTCTCATCTCTTTTGTCTACTTCTCTTTTCTCATCTCTTTTCTCTCTTCCCTCATACCTCTCTTCTCTCATATCTCTCTTCACTCTGTCATATCTCTCATCGCTCTCATATGTTTGTCATATGTCTGTCAAATGTCTGTCATATGTCTGTCATATGTCGGCATATGTCGGCATATGTCGGCATATGTCGGCATATGTCGGCATATGTCTGTCATACCTCTGTCATACCTCTGTCATACCTCTGTCATACCACTGTCATATATCGCATCTCTCTCATATATCTTTCATATCTCTCATATCTCTCTCACATCTCTCTCACATCTCTCTCACATCTCTCTCACATCTCTCTCACATCTCTCTCACATCTCTCTCACATCTCTCTCACATCTCTCTCACATCTCTCTCACATCTCTCTCATATCTCTCTCATATCTCTCTCATATCTCTCTCATATCTCTCTCATATCTCTCTCATATTTCTATCTCTCTCATATCTGTCATATACATATACAAATTTTACAACATATTCAACTTCTGAAGCCTCTGCTCATCGATGGCTTTAAATTTGACTTGCGTGTCTATACGCTCATCACATCGGTGGATCCGCTGCGCATCTTTGTCTACAACGAGGGACTGGCTCGCTTTGCGACACACAAATATAAACCACCTGCTTTGGGCAACAGCAACAATATGTTCATGCACCTGACCAACTATTGTGTAAATCGCCGCAATTGCAATTATGATGCAGGCAGTGGCAATGATAAGGGATCCAAACGGAAACTGAGTGCCTACAACAAGTGGCTCGTCGAACACAATTACAACGTCGGAGAGTTCTGGGCGACGGTGGACGATGCGATTATTAAGACCGTGATCAGTGCGTGGCCCGTGCTGAAGCACAACTATCATTTGTGCTTCCCAAAGCACGATAAGATACAGGCCTGCTTTCAACTATTGGGCTTTGATATACTCGTCGACTGGAAGCTCAAGCCGTACATACTGGAGGTGAATCATACGCCCAGTTTGGCGTGCGGGGAACCCGTTGATAATGAAGTAAAACGTCCATTGATACGCGATACATTGAATTTAATCAGCATGCCTTTGGTGGATAAGGAGGAGATTATACGGGAGGATCGAGCCTTGCTCCGCGATCGTTTGATGAGACAGCTGAATCGACGCCGTGTGCCTAGTCCTAACAAAGATGCGCAAGCTGGAGGTGAATCGAATCAGGCGTGCCCTCTGGGCGCCCTGGCCCTGCAGATCGCTTGGGAGGAGAGCCACTTGGGCAACTACAGGCGTATAATGCCGCCTACAGACAGCGATCGGATCGGTTACTATTTCAAATTCTACAATCAATGCGAGACGTTCCCAACGTTAAAGGTTAAAGTTACCAGGAAATGTGATCCTTGGAAGCAAGAACAACTGCCGGAGCAATTATATGCCAAACAGTGCCAACTGAATAAAGTGCAGCAGCGCAATGAGAGTACGAAACAGGCATTGTTTCTGAGTAGTCGAAGCAATTTCAAAGATATGGTCAAACAGAAGCGTATACAAACTCTGGCCATAATTAAGGATATACACTTGCAAAAGTCCAAAATGTTAAAGCAAAAACAGGGCAAAGAGACGGTGGGCATATGGCAGATGCTGAATACGCGGCAAAAGGAAGTTGCAAATCATGGGAATCTAGAGAACTCGAGGAAATCTTGGAAGCTGCCATCGAGGCCCTCTTCGCCGCTATCCTCGAGGCAAACGCCGAAGCTGTGCAGCAAGCTAACGAATTCCGAGGACTCAACAGATACAAGCGAAACCACATGGAGCACGGCTACGTCAAAGCACATGCGAGAGAGCTGGCCCGCCCGTACCAAATGCAACTTGCCCATTATCAGGTCAAAGCGACGCGCTAAGAATCGCCGACTTCAGCGTCGAATAAGACGAGCCCGTCGTCTGGAGCGTGAATCCCGGCTAGATGCCGAATTCTTGATTAAGCATGGTATATCAGCGTCTACGCGTCTGCAGGCGGGCTGCTCCAAGAATGTAATATCCGCTCCGCAAATAAACAGTGCTGTGCAATTCAGTCAACAGCAGATGCAGTTGACCAAGTATGAATCCCAGCTCATTACCCACATCCGTGACCTCGTCAAGAAAAAGTCATACAAACAGCCGCTAAGCATCAACAAAATAGTCAATAAAGTGAACAGCATATCAAACATAGATTGGCTGCCCCAGCCTACAACCGACGAAGATAATCAGCTACAATGCGATTGGCGATCACAACGGGAAGTAGCTGTCAATGACAACAAGTTTAGGGAGGTGGTAAGTTCAATTTTTCTCAATCAAATGAAATGGCAATTTCCTATTGAGAGCCTTGGCTACAGACTTATTGATTTCGAACAGATCTGCCCTACTATATTATAAACACATTTACTAAAGATTCCACTTTCTAGTTAAGTTCGAAAAAACTCAATTTCGTAATTGCTTAGTTTGATCGATTCTTAACACATAACCACCTGAGTCATCTAATATTGATAAAGTAATTCAAAACCTCTGCCCTGATAACTAACTTGAAGTTATTTTCTTAGCTATTCTATGAAATGTACAAGCGAGGTGATCTAACCAAAAATGATATTAGAATGTATCCAAATCTTCTGTATAGCACACTGAGCAATCAAATTAACAATAAAAACAAATATTGTCGTTATAATAATGATAAAGATACGGATGAGAACAAGGAAAGTATATTGGCGGCAATGAACTAAATGAAGCATATTCTAGAAATTGCGTTTTAATGACAAAAATCGAAGCAATAAAAAACAGAGAATTGGTAAGTAGTATCCTAAACAAGCTCAATTTAATGGCATATTTTTATTTAATTTTTTTTTTATTTTTTAGATCTGCATTGAAATGTAATTTCCGAATCTTCTTCTTTATCGCAAAGAACCGAGCACCAACACTAACAAAGAAGTATTGATCAAGTACCCTCATTCAGTCAACCGAAGGCTTTTAAATAAACTTAAATTTTAAGTGTAAGTTGGCAAAAGCTTGAAATTGTATCAAAAAATATGGATTTGATAAAAAGCCCTTAAAACCAAACCAGCATGAAAATCTTTCATTTTCATGTGCTTTACTTCTAGATATTCAACTAGCGGATGATATCAGAGTTCAACACATTTTGATGTGTATATATATATATATATATATAATATATATGTATGTATATATGTAAACTAAGTATATGTATAAGTATATATATTTGTATCTATATATATATATATATTATATCGTCTAATATAAGCAGAGTAATCGAGACGCCTGTTATTGGATAGCGAAGAAATTAAAATTATTGTCTTCCGTGTGTGGCCAAAATACAACAGATTGTAAAGAAAACTCGTGCAAAAAAAAAAAAAATAAATAAATTAATTAATATAAATAAAAATAAAAATATATAGATTAAAAGGCAACATATAGTTATGTTAATTTCTATTATATTCAGGTCACAAAGCGAAAATTTGAAATAAACAGATTTGTTTTTCTATCGGAATTCGATTGTATGTGGAATTTTACTTGTCGCATATTCAATCCGAGCTGCATGGCTGCCTCGTCATCTGTTATTGATTGCAATCGCAATCTGGAAATACAATTTTTATAAACTTCTTTCGCAACCAGTTCATAAGCATAAAAGCCAACCCCCGCCCCCACCAACTGCAATGATTTGTCAAAGGCAAAACCGACGAAAACTTCTCAGTGCCCTAACCCCAACAGAATCCTGCGAAGCCGTTACCCTTAGATAACTCTCAGCTGCCGACATCTTTGCGCTTTGATGCTGCTCTAGCATGCATAAACAAAATGCAACACAATACGCTAAACTTGGCTTTATATGGAAGGAAAGAAAGGAGGAATAGGAGGAGGAGGACGCTTGGCATAGTCTTCAAACTTGCATTATTGAAAACTGCAGTTGGATACGCTTTTAGCTGCCGTTGCCGCCGCCATATGCAAAACAGCCATCGCATTTTTTCACTCGGCAGCGGCTGTTGGCTGCTCACTGCTCGCTGCTGCGAGGACCTGCCTTTGGTCTAGGGGCTTATGCTCTATGGTCTATGTCCTATGGCTTTGGCTTTGGCTTTAGACGTCAACGCATGTCCTGCGCTCTATTTTTTTTTTGTTTTTTTGTATATCCTTTCAAAATGGTTGTAGACGGGGCATGACCGGCTAGAGACTGGAAATTATATAAAATCTTGAACAATCGAGTCTCTATAGGCTATCATTGTGTTCTTCCGTCTATTTGACTGCAACTATAAACTATAACTTTAGACTGGATAGAAATGGAATATATATATATGTAAAACATCTACATGAATATATCATACAATAAGTGAATATATCTAAGTCTCTCTATATTTTTTGCAGGCATTTGCTGCATAAGCTGCTGGAATATAAAGATATACGAGATGACGAATTAATAGTTAGGGTGGTAAGGTCTTTATACTATAGAAGCTATGATTACGACTATAACCTGGTTTATCCACTTATGTATGTATATTTCCAATAGCTAGACTAGACTCGAGGTATCATCTAGTCGTGCACTACTAACAAGAACCTTTTTGCTTTTTTCTGCTGCAACTGCCTTTTGCTGGTTCGGCTTCTGCCGCTGCTGCTGCTGCAGCTGTCTCGCCATGTGTCACATATTGAAAATTGTGCAGCAGTAGTCACAGCAGCCCGCCGTCTTTTAGCTTATGTCTGGTTGGGTGCCTGGCTGCCTCCTTTTGGCCAACAAAGTCGCGCACAACGCTCTGATAAGCCATTTGAAAGAGGGTTTTACATATGCCGAGCTCAAAGATAGCCGTCCGCCTTCCATACTTTTGCAACGTATTGTGGCAGCTGTGGCACATGGAGCACGCTTAATATTTGATTGAACATTGTTGCGCCTGCTGCTAATACTTTTATTGCATTCTATACAGCTTTTTCGACCTCTTCTTCTTCTTTACCATCATCATTGTCTTCTGTTGTTGTGATCAGCTTAAAGTTCAAGTCGTGCTCTTGCCAAGCTTGAAAACTTTGGCCTGCACTTTTCCACATATGCAGCAAAAATTTTCCGTTTGATGCTTTTAGTGTCGTCTTATTAAAAAGTTTTTAATCTTATCTACGAACCAGCCTCCGTTGCCGCCTCCTTCTCCCTTCGTTGCGTAGCCCACAGAGTTGTCTTTTTGTTCCCTGATAAGCTCTTAAAATTCCTACCAGCTATTCTTTGGTCTCCCACTCGCTCTCTCTCTCTCTTCCTTCCTCTCTGTTTTTCACTCCATCTATAACAAAGCTGCGGAAATGACTGAAGCATTGCAATGGCAAAAGTTTAGCTCATAGTACACTATGCTTTTTTTTGGGGCATAGGAAGAATTTGTGTGTGTGCGTGTGTGTGTGTCTACATTGTTGACAAAAGTTGAGGCTACTATTAGGGGTCGTTTAGCTTGCGATTAGTTCGGCTAAGTCAGTCTACGATGCTCAAACTTCCTGCCTACTTTGCAAGTTTTCGAAAGTTCTTTAGAATTCGGAAATGTCTCAATTTGAAATTGTGCAAGAAAAGAACAAAAACTTTAATCACATTAAGAGTGTCAATTTTAAAGTGCTTTTACACACATTGTTTATGTTTTGCTTTAACAATTTTTAATTTAAATCGATCCATCAAAGTAACTAACTAACGTAACTCGGCCAAAAAGTGAGCAGCCTTGTTAAACTTTGTTACTTTGTGCTGTATTTTGAATTAACTTTGATTGAATTATGAATTGGGCAGCCGCACTACTTACTCACCTACTATGACTCATTGAAAAAATATGATATATGCATATAAAATATATAGATCTGCTGCTATGAAAACGTTCTTTTAATAAAAAGTAGAAATGATGTTAAACACACACTAAACTTATTTTTCTCGGTTGAGAAACTACTCAAAGAATGCACCTTTCATTGCATTAACAATTACTCAAGTCGTAAACTCGTTGATGCATTTTTTGGGCACATGTATTTATAGCACAATACTTGCAGCAGGCCACGTTCGGCTCGTATAACATATATGCCTTATACTTTCCGCTTATCAGTCATAAAGCATAATGTGCACTTAATCTTCATTTGCACTGGGCCAGCGTTACGACACAGCGAAATGCAGGCGAAGAGAGCCGAGAGATGTATAAAAATTCGGTTGAGTGGGGGCGTGAAATTTACTTCAGCTGCAGAAAGCCTTTTAATTTGTGCCATAAATACAAAAAGGAATTGCTTAATTCCATGACAAACACTCGCAGCTGGAGTGCATATAAAGGATATGGCCCAGAGGGAAGACATCTAGCAGCCAGCAGCTTCCAGAATCCCACGGCGATGACTTAAATCAACAAAAGATTTATGCCAGACAGCATAAGGGACAGCAGGAGCAGAAGTTTCATTGAAAAAAAAAAGTAAAAAGGAAAAAATGAATCTAGGCGTATATAAATCCTGCAAGTCGGACTTAACGTCAACAACAACAACAAAAACAGCAGCAGCAGGAAAATCTGTGAGGACGAAAATAACGCCCGGCAAAAAGTCAGTCAGTCAGTCAGCCAGTCGAAAGGGGGCGTGGTAAATTTGGTAAAGCTGCAACCGAGCTCTTGCTTTTGTTGCATGCGAATTAACATGTCTGGCCCGACTGTGCCAGCCAGTGCTCTATATCCCCTGGTATATCCCTGGCTATATAGCCACATGTGTACCATATACACATATACACACACACACATATACACATATGCATGAGTGTGACGACTGGCACAAATAATTTGCAGTTTTACAGTTTTTCAGCGCTTTTATGCTGCATGTTTTCCACTTCACAGGATTTTATGTGCCACTACGCTCGGCTCAAGTGTTGGAAAATACAATTGCCAAGCTCACAAACATGTACACATACACTGAGCGAAAAAAAAAAAAACATTTCCGCATTTGTTGTTGATGTTAGTTGTTTTTTTTTTTTTTGTGCCTCTACTGCTGCTGCTGTTGTTTGTGTTGTGCCGCCAAATGTTTTGCCTTTGCTAAAAAGACAATAAACTGTGTCAGTACGGGCCAACACATGTGCAGCACATATACCCTGTAATGTTGAAGTGTTTGCCCATCTAAGTTTGAGACACAGCTTCACAATTAATGTGTGTGCAACTGCATATGGAAGAATGAATACCCTGTAAACTAGCTTCTCGCTCTAACTTAGTTTTTGGCTTATAATCAGCAACATCTAGTATAACCGTCATGTATAAATATGCATATACCCTATAAATTTTCAATATATTTAACATATTAATTTCGGAATTCGAATAGAATTATATCACAGAATTTATATAGAATAGAATTTATATAATTTCTGCCTAATATTTTTTAGAAAAACTTGATTCTCTCTTTTATATTTTAAATTTATATAATAAATAATATTTAAAAAAATTTTTACACAATTTTTATTAATAAATAATATTTAAAAATTGCTTACACTTTTAATAAAGCCAAAAAGTGCTAGAAAATAGCTCTTAAAAGACATTTCAACTGTCCTGTGCTCACATTCAATTTACCTGCATTTACAGGGCATTTAAAATTCGTTTTAAATATGCGTTTGTTAACGTTTCTTAAATGTATCTGTAACAGTATTTGTTTTAGCCGCTTTTTTGTTGCTTTTGCATCTGTAACTGTGTTGCAGTACGGCAAACACTTGAGTTCTTCATGCATTTTTTATGCACTTTTGTTGCATTGTTTTTTTGTAATTGCTGTTGATATTGTTGCTGCAACTGGGCTGCTGCAGGTTGTTGCACGCCTAACAATGCACTCTGGCTAAACACTCAGCTATACACACACACGCACACACACAGAAAATCTGTGAGTGTTTGAGCCATATTTGTTGGCGCTTTAATATGTCACACATGCTGTGTCCAGTTTTCTGTCTAAAAAGTAACATATATATATATATAGCATATCTGACCACAAAAGCCACTAAGCAAGCGGCATCAAGTGTTCAACAAAAGACACCAATGAAAAATCCTCTCGAAAAACTAACAACAAGCCCAACTGAACCGTACCGCACCGCCTCTCAGCCAAGGCAACAAAACACACGCAGCGACGAGGCAACAGTGTGGCAAATAACTGTTGTCACACCCCAGACCGCATGCCCATACATACATATATATATATTTATACCATCTATGTATATGTATTTATCCTTCTTGTTGAGCTCTGCTCAAGTGTGTGACAAGTTTTTGCAGCCACTCACAACAAATTGCCATGGATTTAGGTATTTTCATCGCCTTGCCAAAAACTTTACTACAAAGTAGCTTAAAAAACTGTAAAATAATAATAATAAGCGACTTGGATATACTCTGTATTTGAATATGTATAGAAAGTCTAAAGACAATTGTGAAGGAATGTAAATAGTCAATATAATATAATATATTTATATTTCACTTAAATATCTTATACGTATATCTTATAAACTAAATTTCTATACTATTAGTTTTTTTGTATTTTATCCTATAAATCAATTTAGGTATGCGTAACTCGCAAAACTCTCCAAGTTCGTTGACCACATTTCAATATATATAAAGATCTATTCTAATATTCTGTTCTAATGCAACCTCTCATTGCACACACTCAATTACAGGGTATATAAAATATTGTGCGATTTAAGGCTCAGACCAAAAATAAGCAACAACAATAAAGACGATAACAAGCAGGCGAAAGAAGTTTCAGTGGATGAAAGTAAAATTTATGTACATCTATCTATATGTATATGTATTTATATCTATCTATATATGTATATATAGGTATATAAAATTTTTGGTGTGTACTTACAACTGTGATGGGATAGAAAGGATTTATGATAGTGAAGAGTAGAATGTGATTTGGCCGTGTAGTCTCAGGACGCTTTCTCCTTAGGTCGTCGTTTGACTTGTTCAGTAGTGCTTGCTGCTGACTCTGATTTTGTGTGGACTGTAAATAGTAATATATATATATATATTTAGATATAAGTTGTCGGGTGTGTTTTGGTTGTATAGTAAATAAAAATACATATTTGTTTAGTACATTCAAGCGATATTTCATTTCAACTTTACACTATTCTGTCTACAGCTAATTTTGGACAAATAAACAAAAAGAAAACAAAGCGACGATCCTATGTCAGTATCCACGAATTGGACTCTCTGGTCAAATATGCACCCAGTAGAAAGAATCCCGACGATTTCAATAGCATAGTATTAAAATTATTCACATTTATAATCTTATATAAATTGCAGCCGAAACTTTTCAACTGATCCGCATAGTTGAGAAAGCTGCAAATTATATCAAGTTAATTCGAATTTCATCTGCTTCGAAATCTAATTTACCGCCGTCCAAGAGACATCAGCATTGCAAGGGATTATTTATTTGAATTGCTTATCAGAAATTTTGTTATAAATATTAAGAAATGCTTAACTGGACGCAAGACTGTTGGAAAACTAATATATTTTACGCTTGTTGGAAAATGTTTTTGAAAAGTGAGTTCTAAATCAGAGGCATTCGAGATTGAAAGAAGAAAATAATCATTTTTAGTATTTTCTTAACGTCACGTTGAAATTTGTAGTTAAACAAAATATACATTCCTCCTCCTCTCTCTCTCTGTTAGAGTTCCTAAAAAATCAATGCATTAAAAGTCTTTAGCCATTAGCTGGCAGACCACATGTCAAACCGCCTGTCAAATCGTTGTGCACAACAAGTTTCCAATGGTCCCAACTGCAATTGATTTTTAAGTTTCTCGTTTGCCCCGCGGCTCTAATGACGTTCATTTATTTGCGAAAAATTCAAGTCAAAATATAACAAAGTTTTCTTTTTTTTGCATAAGTTTTCCACGATAATTGACGCTGTCAACAAAATACTTAAAAAAGAAAACACAAATAAAAAGAAAATACAACAAAAAAGTAGGTAAATTCTCTTAGCATAATTTGTTTCGAGGGGCTCTATAAATAATTGCGGAATTTAGGTAAAACATGTTCATGTCACGTTCAAATGTCAATCAACGCTTGTGATAGGCCAAGCGGGAAGCTAAAGGGGCTAAGGCAAAGCGTCAGGTGAGAAAAATATTGTTGCACATGCATGACGAAGAGACAGAAAGAGATAGAGAGAGAGTGGCATCAGACACTCGATGGACAGGTGGGTGCTGCTGGTGGGGAGAGCTAGGAGTTCGCTTTAGCCTCGTAGACTTGACATCAAAATGCCAGACATGCGCCGATATTTACGCTAATTAACTGGGGCATATATGCCAGGAAATAATGACAACGATTCTAAACATGTATATTTGGAATTTTTGCAAGCTCTAACTATCAGTGGGTTACAGTCAGAAATTGAAAACAAATATTTTTTTTTTAATTGCTGTTTTTATTTGCAGTCTGTCTTATACTAAACATTATTATCACATCATGAAACATTGAAATGGTTTTTAAAATTCATTAATTTTAGAAGTAAACTGAATGTTTATGAAATAGTTAAATAACCAAATAAAATAAAGGTAGGCTAATGGCAAAAAAAAAAAAAGATTTTCAATTTAAGAATAGCCGAATGATAAAAATATATCTCAAAATCTACAGCTTAAAATGTGAAATAATTCTCATAGAATTTTATATACCTTTTCTTTATTCAAGGCATAAATAAATGTTAAAAACGAAACACTTCAAAATTAAAGATTAAAGTGAAATACAACGTGGATAAATATATAAATGTGGATAGGCTTGTTTGTAAATAAATTACATAACGATTAAAATTTAAATAAAATAAAGATTTGTAGTCATTTAAAAGCACGATTTCAAGTTGACAGAACACACAATTGATATTGAATATCAATAAAAAAAATTAAAAATATAAAAATATGCAAAATTTGAGAAATGTTAAAAATTAATAAACCTATTTGCAAGATTAAATTTACAAAGTTTTTAAGTTTTAAGTTTTGATAAATAATTTCACAATTTATTTAAAAATCCAAACTTTTATTGAAAGTAATGTTCATTATACTTATTTATCAAATTTTATTCTGGCAAATCATTTAACGTTAGTTTCTGAGAAGTCTTCAAATTTCTTTCTAGCTCTCCCTGATTCCTATGTCTCTCTCTTTCTGTCTCTCCCTCTCACTTTGATTCCTATGTTCCTCTCCTCTCTCACTCCCTCTCTCTGTCTCTTTCCCTAATTGACTTCATTTCTCTTTTGCAACTCTTGCATAACTTTCACTATGTGTCTCCTTGAGCTGCAATTCATTAACTAATTAGCGTTTGCCATGATTAACTTTCCCACTCCATTTTGCTGCTTCTGTTGCTGTTGCGGTTTGGCTGCTACACTTTCACGTGTAAATTTTTCTTTTTGTTTTTTTTTTTATATATTTAATTTGCTGCATTTTTCACAACATTCCCGGCCACAACTTGAGTCGCTCACACTTAACCTTTATCTCATTTTATGTTTATACGCCGCAGTTAAGTATCTCCGACTCAAGCTTAGTATTTTTTCTCGCTCGTTTTTAGCCGGGCTCTACAATTAGGTTAATGGATCGCTGTTGCCTGTTCGCTGCAGCAGTGACGCATATTTGGCACCCAAAGGGTTGACGAGCGACAATTGACTATGTGGGCAGGCGATGTTAAGGTCACGAGGAGGCTATAAATTGTACAAGTGATTGACATCGTGACAGCTATGACAGCTCTAAATATAGTGAGGTGCGAAAGTATTTAGATCACTTTTTGCTTGAGTTTTTGAAACTAAATTGCAAGAAATTTCTGTTCAGTTCATTACTGCAAGAATTTGCTATACTTAAATGCAGTTGCAGTTGCAGTCGATCTACTAAAATTTCCACATTTCCCAGAACTAGCTCGAGTTTCAATTTTCAGCTAGTCTCGACATCTGTCTTCTAGCAAGCGCCCTTCAAACGTCTCAAGTACAAAGAGTTTATCGTGTTCTACACAGCATAACGACGAGCTATCATTAGCAATTTTCAATATTTCCACACATTATCTATTGCCTTTCCCACACTGGGCCCCTCAAGGGCCGACAAAACTGTATTTACCTTGTAACATAATCCAACAAGCAGCTCGTGAGGGTTTTCAATCAAAAACAAGGAAAGAAAAAATGAAAACAGAAAGCAGAAAAAAGGAGGCAGCGACAGCAACGAAATATCTCAACGGCTTTGACGCACAATTTGTATGCGCGGCGAGCCTCAAGGCGAGAGAGACTACAAAAACATTTGTTTTCTGTCAAATTTGCCTTTAATAATAATAAAGATCATATATTCTACGCCCACCCGCAAGGAAAAGCCGACGACACTGGAAACTGTTGATTAAATTACAACAAAAAGAAACCAAAGCGGGAGCGAGAGAAGCGTCACAAAGTGGAAGCTGTAAGAGAAATGATTGATGGATCTATGCTTGCTCGGGTTTGGACTTAAGTGCATGGCAACCAAGTAACAAAAAAGAAAAAAGCGGAAAATGATTTCAAATTTTAATTTATTTTGCGTTTTTTTGCCCCTCTCTCTCTTTCACTCTCTTTTGTGGCTAGCCAGGCATATGGACGAATAGTTCTATTCGTATTTTAGTTTAGCTTAGTTTTTTTTCTTCTATGTTTCAGAAAAAGCATTTGAAACATTTCTGGCACAACGGCGCGAACGATTTGAAAATAGCCGTGCGGCTGCATACCACGGCGCATTTCAACTCGAACCGCAACGAAATGAAGATGAATTACCCACGAACTATTCGCTAGGGACTATCCGACGGACGGACGGCCCAGACAGACGCGTCAGCGCCCATCGTTGCGGCATGCAAATCACAAATAAGTTTTGCATCGAGCTAAAAAAGATTTGCACTCACAGTTGATCAAATGGTCAACAACAAAAAATAAAAGCAGAAAAGTGCGGCGACATAGCCAAAAGATACAGATACAGATACAAGCGACGAGCTAAAGATACAGATACATTTACAAAATGCTTTGCCAAGAAATTTCTCACAAAAAAAAACTGCGTCGAGTTGCAAGTTGCGAAATCTCAGATAAAGATTCGAGGCAATATAAATAGCCAAAGATATATGGCCGGAGAGTCAGTCCATCATGCTGTCAGTGCCGACTGATGTATTGACATTCATCAAATCGACTTGAGTCTATGCAGAACCAAAGCCTCCTGATTTGTAGCTCAGCCGATAATTGTTGATAACTTGCCGAGCGAAATGTGAAAAATGATAGATGATTATTCGAGGAAAAAACCAAAATGAAATTTATATTGAATAAGCAGGTGCAAAAAGGTAAACTTTAAAGACCAGAGTGTTTGTCAGTTCAATTAAAATAAACTTGGTTAGAGAACTCAGATTTAGAAAAAAGTTGGGATTCTGGTTAACCAACTTTGAATATAATAAATATAAAAATTAATGAAAACAAAACTAGCTTAAATCATATTTATTTAAATTATAAAATTTAAAACAAAATCAAGTTTTAAGCAACTCAAACTTAAACGACTCAAACTTTCTTTGACGCCAAGCCAAATTATTAATATAATTAATTTTAGCTAACATATATATTTGTCTGCTTAAATTGTAACAATTTTTAATATATGAATTAAACAAATTTTTTTAATTGCCAATATTGAAATGAATAAGTAATTTCATGCCGAAAAACTTTCAAAATATTTTTTAAAAAAATTTAAATCAAATTTGACATTTATTCCAATTTTTTTTAAAATAATAAAATAAATTTTTAAAAATTTTAAGTCATAAAATGAAAAAAAAAGGTAAATTTATAAAAAGTGCTTCACAATACAAATAATAATAAAAATTAATATTTTCTTTATATTTCAATCAATAATATTATTATTATTATTATTATTATAATGAAAAAAAACCTGTTTCAAAATCTAGAAAAAAAATTCAAATTCAAATTTCTTTCAACTTGCTACACAAAAATGAATTTGCATTAAGAGTCGCAGCTCATTAGGGCGTGCC